GGAAAATCAGCCGCTTTTCCGGAATAACTTGCCAGCTGTCTACACTGGCCCCTTGAATTTCCGGAAAAGCACTGACGATCTACTGTAAAATCATCAGTGCTTTTCCGGAAAAACTATGCTGCTCCTGTTCGGGCAAAAGTCCTTTTCCGGAAAACTGTTCCGGAAAAGGGCCAGTGTAGACAGCACAGATTTCTTTTCCGCAAAAAAGCCCCGATCGCGAAAATGACGATTGGGGCTTTTTTGCGGAAAAGCGTGTCTACATTGGCACGGACGCTTTTCCGGAAAAAGTGCTTTTCCGGAAAAGCATCCTGCCAACGTAGACGCGCTTTTTCCGGAAATACTTATAACGGAAAACTGTTCCGTTTTAAGCATTTCCGGAAAAGGGTGCCAGTGTAGACGTAGCCGTGTTGTCTCCCCCTTAGACACAGGGCGAGGAAGGGAGGGAACACACACCGATTAAACCTCAGCTGTTGAGAACATTCCTACTTTGCTCCTGAAGATACAGCAGGAGTAGAGAGACCAGCCCAAGACTTTGCGGCAGGGTAGGTGGGGAGAGAGACATTCACTTGTCACCCGCTCTGGGAAGGCTGGGTGAGCAGGATCCCTCTTCTACCAGCCGCTGGTAAAACCCCCCCAGCTGTCTCTTTGGCGGCAGAGATTTAACAGCGTTTAACCCTGGCAGGTCCATCCATCCAGCACATTACAGCAGAGCCCAGAGCTCGGCTTTCATCCTCTGCTGCGACCCACAAACTGCTACCTGCGCACCTCCGTCCCCCTCTTCCTTCCCCTTTGCGGCCTCTATCTAACAGAGACAGCGGGGGGAGGGAGGGGGAAACTAGTCGACTTGACTATCTGATAAGAATTAGCTTATCGGAGAGTCGACTAGTCCTTTACATCTTTACCCTACGCCCCTCTGACACTCCTCACTCTGGCCTCCAGACCCACTCCTGCACTCAGCTATTCCAGTCCTAGTCCCCTTCTTCACAGAGATTGCTAGTTACGCTGGGTCGTGAACTCACACTCTGGTGAGGACAAGCGTCCTCTTGGGCACAAGTCCAGCCCTGCCACGCTCATTCCACTCGTGACCTACATTGCACCGAAATGCACATCTCCAGGAGAGAATCTAATACTTTCCCATCCGCTCTCAACTCCCCCCAGCTGTCAGGGGAAAACAAAGCAGCGAGTCTTAGGAGGTTTTTGTTAAATCGCAGAATCCTTATTTATGATCCGCTTTGCAGTCACCCTGCCTGCTGTTAAGATGGTTATAAAATACCCAGGGGATGCCGTTGAAATGCATAACCTTGGCATACTCAGGACAGGTTTATTCTCTGCCTGGTATTTATGTACTGCAAGACAACTTTCCCTGTGTGCGCGCGTCCTTGGTATCTATTTACCAGGCTCCTTCGGGAATCTGGGGGGCGGGGGGAAAAGGCAGGTTATTTGTTCAAGTTGCTCTCTCCACCTTGCTCTGAAAGGGTCTCGGGAACCAGGCTGCAACGCTTAGAATCATTATCCACAGGGGTGGGGGAACCGGATGGCATGGAAGAGGAGTAGCATCATGCCCTAGCTTTTCAGATATAGACACACATCCCAGGCACACTGCATCCCTGTCTGCACTACGGACGTCGGCCAGCACAGTTGTGTCGGGCAGGGGCGTGAAGAGGTGGGCTCAGGCAAAACGGAGCTTGGCCCAGCTGAGCTTGCTGGGGAGGGAGCTGGAATAAGCTATCCCATTGCTATACCCACGAGGCCATCCCGGCAAAGCCTTCCAGGCGCAGACATGGCCCTGGGCAGCTGGCGCTCAGCTCTTTTGAGCGCTTGTCCGTGTCAGGCTGCCAACACAAACGAGAGGGACAGGCCCAGCTGGAAGGAGAACAGCAGGGGGGCTGCAAACCGAGATGGAGTGGGGGTGGGGTACTGCTGGGATCATCGTGCCACAGCAGCGATCGGCCTCTGGCATTGCTATGGGCTGGGTCCGAATCCCAGTGAGCGTAACGAGCTTCAACCCCCCGAACAGAACGCTCGGCAGGCGTCGGACCAGGGACCTTCGGCCCCAAAACACAGGGCTGGAGCCCAACGAGAGGGCCGGGAGGCAGGGAGCAGGCAGCGTCCGACTCACTGGGCAGGGGGGTGAATTCCACGGCTGACACGCTGGCGACCTTGCTGGTGTCCAGCTCCACGCGGTGGTACTCGTAGATCGTCCTGCGGCGAGACTCTGCAACAGCAAGGGGCTGCGTGAGACGGAGGCGAAAGCCCTGGGTACCCTGCCTGCTCCCAACCCACCTGGGATGAGCTGCGGAGCTGGGCTCATTGTGGGAACTGAGTCAGGACAGGGAAGGGTCCCTGAATCCCTGGAGTAGGGAGTGGTCTTGTATGCAAATTCCTAGCTGAAATGCTAATTCCTAGCTGAGCCCACAGGCCATCATCCCTGCAAGGGACATCAGTGCTGGGGAGCTGGGGAAGGGAGGGCAGAGTAGGAGAGCAGATGGAGGGATGTTTTCCTCCGCTCTGTTCTCCCTGCTTCACACGGGGAAGAGTTTGGAGCTGTTTGTCTTGCCTGCAGCCCCGCATACGCCTGAAAGCAACACGGGCCAGGTTCTCAGCAAACCTGGGCCGTGGCAACGCACAACTCCAAGCCTCCCCTTGGCGGAAGGCACCTCCTCCGGGCTCCCCAGCCTCCTGGCTCTTATCCTAACAGGCTTCTCATGCTGCTCGTCCCCTGCTCGCTTCACCCTGCCTTTTCCTCTCTCCTTACCTCAGTCTAGCAGCCAGAGCAGGTGGGTCCAGAACCCAGGGCCCTGGGTGCTCTCTCTCTGGCTCTGTCGCTGACTGGTTGTGTGACCTCAGCCAAGTCCAAGTTCCCTGGAAGCTGGGCCCCAAACTGAAGAGTTTCAGTGTCTATATTGCACCTCGGAGGGAGAGGGGGGCGGTGATCTCAGCCCTGTGCCATGGCAGGGGAAGACCAGGGGTCCTGGCCCAGCAGGACAGGGTGGTGAGAAGCCCCAGAGAGCAAAGAGGCGAGGGTCAGTGGCTTTGTCAGCCCTCAGGGAAACACCCCCAAGGGGTCTTCTGTGACCGCCCCCCATCACAGGCCAGATGGCAAGTTCCATAAATAAGCTACAGCAACCGCAGCAGGTGCAGCACAGGGAGACCATGGTCAAGTTTCTCATTACAAAAAAGATGAGAGGCTGAAGCAGCCTTTTCTAAACACACACACACACACACACTGCATGACGAGTACACGCAACACACACACTGCCCATGTAACACGGCACGCAGGCAACATGCATCCTGCAACCACCTGCCGCTCGCATGATATGTACGTGCAGCACACGCAGACTGTGCAGTCCGCCGACATGCAACATGGCACCAGCAGCTGTGCAAAGCCAGTCGAGTCTCCGCCCGGATCGCGTGAAGGAGGAAAGGTCTCCTCGTCCAGCAGCGAGGCTCTTAGCAGGCCATGAGCCGTGGGCCAGTGGGACTCTGATGCGCCCCCCTCCACATTGTCCGTCCTCCCCCATTGCTGGCCAGCAAAGGAAGCCCCAGCAGCTGAGACCCACCTGGAACGACAGGGGAAGAGTTGAGGAGCATGAAGGCGTCGGACAGGCCGGCTTTGACGGGGTGCTGCGTGGCGCTGATCTCCTGCACCGACATGGGGATCTGGAAGAGGGGGAGAGAAGTGGCCATGAAACCTTGGGGCTCCCGTGTCTTAAGGGGCCGTGGCAGAGCGAAGTGCGAGAAAATGGTGACTTAGCTGAGGCACCATTGAGTCTGCTCCCAGAAGACCATTCGAGGCTGCTTTAGACCAGCCTGGGCCTCTCCTGGGTTCATGCGTGTCTCTTTGGAGGTGCCCTAGGCCCAAACACCAGGGAATAACCAGCACAGCTGGCCAGGCGCTGCATATGGGACGTCAGCTGAGCAGCTGGGACGGGCCGACCTCTGGGTTAATGATTCTATGATTAACAGCAGGGACTGGACTGGCAAAATCCCAGTATAGTAAGAGGAAGGCCCGAAACAAAAGCCCATGGAGCACAGGCCTGGCTATCAATGGACAAAGCTTGGCTAATACAAAGCAAAGCTCTCAGAGCTTGGCGCAAACAGGGCTGAGAGCGCAGAACACTAACTGGGAATAGGCCCCGGTGTAGGACAGTCATTGGTCCCAGGTGCCGACTGTACAACAGTCCTTGGGACTGGTCGTAAGTTGAAAGGATGGTACCACCAGCTCGCTAAAACAGACCAGGGTCCCCACACTCCCCACAGATACCGACTCAGGCTCAGGAAAGGGTCTGATGACAGCTTGATGGATAGAGGTGTTCTAATCCGGGGGCGAGGAACATCAGGCCCAGGGGCTCCTGGACTTGCCTGGATCCGGCCCCCGAGGCTCAGGGCTCCCCTCCCAGTATTGGGGAGACTGTGAGGATGTTCCTGTGGGGCTGGAGCACACAAAGTCTACTAGCCTGGGCCCCCCATGGCTCTGCTGCATGAGGGGAATGTGGAGAGGGTCTTTCTCACTCGGGGGCCACGTCAGTGAGTTTGTTTTGGTTTTTTTTTTTTTGCTTCTCACTTGCGTGCAGCCCCCGACTGATTTTAATATGGGTCAGTGACCCCCACCCCAAGAAAGGTTCCCCAGCCCTGCTCCGATCGAACCACGAGGTGCAGGGGGAGGAGTGGTATCTAAGTAACGCCAGAGGGTGGCAACCGGACACATCAGGAGTGATGTGCGGCTCGTTGGTACCTGCGTAGAAAGCGGTGTCTTGGAGGGGCTGTCTTTGTCCGGCCTCGGGGGCCGTGGGGCCTCCCACTGACCAAGTCGGTCCGTTGTGGGGGTACATACGTGTAGCGGTTCGGGAGAGCCTACTGACAGCTATGGCTGCACTTTGTGTAACAATAAACCTGGCCGGGCGCCTCCGATCCTTATCTGATTGTGTGTCTTTTGGGGGCTCTCTTGGGGTCATCTCCTTGTGCAAGTTGGCACGGCCCACACGCCCGCAGCCGACTGGCTATCGTCACTGGCAGAACGGGACACCACGCCGGGAAATCCTGCCTACGACTCCCAAGTCAGGCGCCAGTCTGTAGCGTCAGCTAACGAGCCAGGCTCTAAAGGTGGGGCCATAGCAGGCCTGTAGCCTCTGCCCAGAGGCTTAGATGGGCAGGCTCCCTTTCTCGCAGGGGTTTGCACTAACCCAGCCCTGCTGTGGAGAAGGAAGGCAGCCATTTTGTTTGCTAAGCCTTCCCCATCCTAGCTGGGCCTCCCACATCCAGCCCTCCCCGTGCCCACCACCCAAGCCCCCACCCCCGTAGGCCTATCCCATTCACCGCCCCACCAGACCCCCCCGTCCCATCCTATGTGCGCCATCTCACCTTGGCTTGGAGTATTTGGCAAGCGTGACCTTCCCTGATCTTGCTGCCCGGCCCTGAGGATGCAGCGTCCTCGACAGGCAGCCAGCTAAGGCAACTCCCACGCCACCCGCGTGTGTTGCAGCACCTGCAATAACCACGCCCCCAGCACCTGGCCCCACGCACCTCCTTGTACCCAAAGACGATTCTCCCGTCACTGTGCAGAGCAGCCTGGAACGTAAAGCTGCCAATGTCCTCCTTCCCCTGCAGATAGACCTTGTCCCACTGCACCACAAACACCGTCCCTGGGAGAAAGAGGAGAGATCACAATGGGGCAGAGAGCAGCAGGGGAGATTGTACAGGTCATTTTCATCCCTGTGCACCAGTGTTCTCTCTTTTTTTTTTTCCATTTAATGTGTGGAATAAATTTTGTTCAGTGCACTGGGGCAGGTGTTGATGTGCACCACCCATAGAAACCCATGCAGCTGGCTGCTTATTAGTCTGCTAATCCGCTGGGCGGCAGCTGACTCGCTCAGCTTACAGGGAACACTCCCGGGTGCCATCACTCATCAGAAGGGGGTAAAAACTGTACCTGGATGTAGTCCTTTGTCTTAAGTGTACACATAGACTTAGAGCTCTTTAAAGATTAAGCTGTCACTTGGTACCATTATTTCTATTGTCTATCTTTATTTTCTTTGTAACCATTTTTAAGATCTATATTTGCTAGCAGTTAAGAAATAGAGCAACAGCCATTGTAACCATATGATTTATAAGCTTCTTTAATAAACCTGTAACTGTTTAAGTTTTAACCTGACTCCTTCAGTTGCTGTAACAGAACCAAGCACAATTTAAAAGAACTTCAGCCGGTCATAAGGGACAGATATAGGAAGAGCTTGGGAGTTTGGATGGTGTTGCTTCTAGGGGACAGATCCGTAGGGGCATCTCTCAGCCTTAACTAGGCTGCCCGCTGCGAAGGGATCCTGTATCCTAGCAGTTAAAATCTGAGATGTAATAAGCTCTTCCTATAAACTTTGGGGCGTCTGTCAGCTGTTGGCTGCCTGCTACGACAGGACCCTGGTCCTAGCAGTAAAAGACACGTCAGTCTCTCCTAGGCTGCCCACTGCGACGGGGCCTCGTGTCCCAGCAGCTGAAAACACACACACACACTGCCCTGACTATTGGCTGACACCAGTACAGCTCTGTCTCCCAACTCTGGGATTTCCACTTCCTGCATCTGATGAAGTGGGGATGTACCCACGAAAGCTGAGCCCCAAATAAAGCTAGGGTTGCCAGATGGTTTCAGAAAAAATACCAAAAGAAAAAAAAAAACACAACAAGCCAGGACAAAGTTTGTTGAGCAAAAAAAAAAGGACCAGAGAGTTGTTAAGCAAAAAACAAAACAACAACAACAACAAAAACACCGTGCCCCTTTAAAAACCGTGTGGTGAGGCTTTTTGGCCCTAACAGGCAGCCGGTGGCCACCCGCCATCTTGCCTCCCTGCACGGGGCTGGACAGGTCCCCTGCAGAACCCGTTAACGCACTAGGGTTGCCAAGCTGCCTCCATATTGAGCCAGACAGTCTGGGATTTTCGCCTCCTGGCCAGGAAAAAATCAGAAAGCACCGGACATTTTAGGTGTCCAGAATTTTCTGATTTTTTTTTTCCAGACAGGAGGCAAAAATACTGAACTATCTGGTTCAATACCGGACCCCTGGCAACTCTAAACAAAGCTGTTAGTCTTTAAGGTGCCACAGGACTTCTTGTTGGTTTTGCAAGGATACATGTCACACTTCTCACACACAGAGGGATGCACAGACAAGTCACATGGACAGACATGTCACTCAGAGAGGCACATGTCACATAGATGCACCGACACACGCACACAGAGACATATCACGCGCACACAGACACACACACACAAAGTTGACGGCGAATTCTCCTCTCAGGCCCGCGTCTGTGGTTCTCCATGCAGCACTGTTTGTGTACCAGGATTGAGCCTACTTGAGATGCAGGCCAGAGAAATACCAGACCCCTAACTGTGCTCTCAGCACTTGGGCCCTTGCACATTCCTGGCTGCTGCACAGTCGTGGGTCCTCTCCCCTGCTTTGCAGGGACAAGTGCTGCCCAACGATCTTGCAGTTCCTGGCTCAGGAGGGGAGCAGCAGCCAGTGGCCCCAGAGGCTCTGTGCACTGTGTGGGGCTGCAGGGCGGTGCATTGGGCCAGGTGGGACTCACCGTTGTCGAAGTACTTGACGGTGGAGTTGCGGGAGTAGCTGGGGTTGAAGTTGGCCATCAGAGGCGCGATGTACTGGGTGGCCGTGAGCATGTGGTGAATGACGTCCCCCGTGAAGATGAAACCTGGAGTGAGAGCAAGCAACGGCAATTTACAGGGGCATCTCCTCACCTCACCCCACTTCCACAGAAGACCCCTTACCAGCTTCCCCTGCCACAGCCCCCCCGGAAACCCGCTACCAGCTTGTACACCCCCCACTTTCCCCAGAAACCTGCTACCAGCTTCTACACCCCCACCCCACTGCCCCGGAAACTCGCTACCAGCTTCCACACACCCCCACTGTCCCCAGAAACCCGCTAACAGCTTCTACACACACACCCCACTGTCCCAGGACGCCCGCTACCAGCTTCTCCCCATTCCCTGGCCCCCAACGCCCTCTACCCCTGCCCCTGCCCTGACTCGAGTTGCGCCTGAATGGAAGTACCCTGCAGCTGGGCCATTTGGATCCCAGGTTCGGGCTCATGACTCCTCCCCCTGCAGCACTAATTAGAGAAAATTCACAGGCCGTCCTAAGCTCCTGTGATGTGGGAGTGAGCTCCATTTTACAGTGGAGGTAAACTGAGGCACAGAAAGCGGCCGTGACTTGACCAGGCCCCCGCCTGGTCACGCTGGGAGTAGTAGGCTGCAGAAACCCCCTCCTCAGCCCACTAGCCCACGCTGCCTCTCCAGCAGCTGCGGCCTGTCCGCACCCGGCCTCCCAGTGCCGCACTCACCTCCTGTTGCTATGGTGATCTGCCTCAGGTGGTGGCCATAGAAGGGGAAGTCAAAGGACAGGATGACTCTCTGTGGGAGACAGACAGGGACGGGCAGCGTCAGTGCGGGAGCCACCCCGGGGGGAGCCGCGTTCCCCACGCTGAAGGCTGAGGCTGCCCGGGGGGCAGGGGTGTTGCTGCCAGGGGAGGTGGGTGAAAGCAGAGGGGGACACAGGGGCACTCGCGGGCAGCAGGCTTTCTTTCCAAGGTTCGCTGTGCCCATCTGGCCTAGCCTCTGGGCACAGCCCTGCTGGGAGGAGAAAAGCCAGAAATGGATTCATCGGCCTGGTTGGGATGGGGGGGTGGCCAGGCTGGGGTCCAGATGGAGCAAAAGGCGAGGCCCACTCGCCTGTCCTGTGATGAGCAAAGCTTGAAAACTCAGCAGGCATTTAGAGGCTCTGCCTGGCGGGCACAGGAGCTGTGGGGAGAACACCAGGCCTCCAGCCAAGACGCTAGTGCCCCAGGTCAGGAAACCCCTGAGAAGAGAGCAGCTTCTGGGTCACTGTAAGCCCAGCGCTTGGGCAGCCATGCAGGAGGGAGCCCAATGCTGCCCAGATAATTAGCAGAGCACCCACAGCTAGGTTTTGTTTCTATGCTTGGGCAGCCGTGCAGGAGGGAGCCCAATGCCATCCAGATAATTAGCAGAGCACCCACAGCTAGGTTTTGTTTCTACGGGTGGTGCACATTCCCACGTGCCTTGGTGCACATAAAATTATTCCGCACCTGGGTGGAAAAGAATCGAGGAAACCTTGGTCACGGGCACGATGCTGTGGCAGACGCCCGACGCAGGGATGGCAGCAGTTAAGGGGAGGGAAGGGGGGACTCACTGAGGCCTGCCTGTGGGTGTTGGAGAGGATCCCATGGATTTTCACTTGGCTCCTGTTGGCTTCCGCCACGTCAACCCAGAGCTCCTTGGTGCGTGTCTCCCCCGGCCCGTAGAACCGTGACACGTAGTACTGGTGGTTGTCTTCCTGCAGCCACAGAGCAGGGAGGGGTGGCGTTAGCAGGGGAGGGTGACAGACAGTGGAGACAGGGCCCAAGGCAGAAAATCGGCCCTGAGATCTCAATGCAACAGGAGCTCCCAGGGGGAGGCCGTGGCAAATCGGGCGAAAACGATCCCTGGGTGTGTAAATGGAGGAGTGGTGAGTCGTAGCAAGGAGGGGATTTTACCTCTGGATACTGTTCTAGTGAGACTGGTACCGCAGCTGCTTTTGCGGAAAAACTTGCCAGTCTAGACACGCGAGTCCAGACCCAGAGAGGCCGCCTGTGGAGAGGTGTGAAGAGTGAGGGAGGGGACCTGCTCACGGCAGGTAGGTACCGTCCCAGGGGACAAGGGCCAGCTATGAAAAAGCTCCTTGTTCTAGGGCAGCAGGGCCGAGCAAGAACCAATGGCGGGACACTAACGCCAGACACATTCACACCCAGAAGGCACATTTCTCAACGCGTCCCGAGACCTCAGAACACCCTCCCCAGGGACGTGCTGGAGTCTCCTCTCTTGAGGCCTTCAGAACTAGCCTGGAAGCCTTTCCGGAAGGTGTTTTAGTCAAACACAAGGGCTATGTCTACACTGGCATGATTTTCCGCAAATGCTTTTAACGGAAAAGTTTTCCATTAAAAGCATTTGCGGAAAAGAGCGTCTAGATTGGCATGGACGCTTTTCCGCAAAAGCACTTTTGTGCAGGTGACAGACAGTGGAGACAGGGCCCAAGGCAGAAAATCGGCCCTGAGATCTCAATGCAACAGGAGCTCCCAGGGGGAGGCCGTGGCAAATCGGGCGAAAACGATCCCTGGGTGTGTAAATGGAGGAGCGGTGAGTCGTAGCAAGGAGGGGATTTTACCTCTGGATACTGTTCTAGTGAGACTGGTACCGCAGCTGCTTTTGCGGAAAAACTTGCCAGTCTAGACACAGCCAAGTTGTGGGGCTCAGTAGAGGGGGAAGTGGGTGAAAATCTGAGTCTGATCCCATCTGACACAGGAGATCAGAAAAAATGGCCGAATGGTTCCTTCAGGCCTTAAAAACTCTGAACCTCACTCCCTGTGATGGGACCAGCCACATGCTTTATGAAATTGACTTAAGGACCCAAATATGCGTAACTCGAAGATGCTTTGGACAAAATACCTCCTGTAACTTGTCAATTTTAATGTCTCGATCTGCTGGAGCTGTGTAGCTTATTTTGGGGTATGTATCACACTTGCATGTAAAGTTAGAATATGGGGCAGGGAATGGTTATGGTTTTAAATGTGCAAAGGGAAGGCCATCAAGGGAGTTTCCAGTGCTGAGACACCTCAATGTCTGGGTGATCCACTTAATGACCTGTAAACAGCCTGGTTGTGTCTCTTCGGGTACGTCTACACGGCAGTGTTATTTCGGAATAACTGACGTTATTTCAAAATAAGAAAAGGTGAGTCTACATTTATGTCCAAATAATGGTGAACTGGAGAACTTCTTATTCCAACTCCTATAACCCTCATTTTAAGAGGAGTACGGGAAGTCGGAGGAAGAGAGTAGACAGCACCAAAAGCCGAAATAAGCCAATTCAACTTCAGCTACTAGATTAGACAGCACCAAAAGCCGAAATAAGCCATTTCAACTTCAGCTACGCAATTGACATAGCTGATGTTCCGTAGCTTAATTCGACTTTTGCCCTGCTGTATAGACGTGCCCTTTAAGTTCGAGCAGTGGTTGGTCTTGGACAGACACGTGACCAAACCAGCTTACACTGGCGTACTACTGTAATCGGGTAATTTTCCACAGAAGGGGGTAATGTAGAAACGAAGGATTCCCACCCACAAGGAAGTCTATTTCAACTGGAAAGCAGCAGTCTCTTTGTCTTTGGCTGGGATGATATACTCAGGAGAATAATCAGAGACCTCGGGAGGAGGGGGGGAAGATCTTCCCTGGCTTGGAGTTTTAGCAGAAATAACAGTTTGAGGGTAAATTTGCAGTAAGTGTTAGTGTGTGAGAACTGGCTCTGCCTTCTCTTTTCGTTTCAATTTGTAATTTACTTTGTCTGTTCTCACTTGCAACCACTTAAATCCTACGGTTTGTGCTTAATAAAACCACTTTTCTTTACTATCAAGCCGCGGGCAAATGATTGTTACTGGCGGAGTCATCAGTGTCTACATCCTCTGTCACTGTCAAAAGGGCTGGGCCTGAATGGCTTATTTGGGGTCCTGATCCCATTTGCAGGGTTGGTTTCCCACAAGCTGGGCCTGAAGTGGCATTTTCCTCAGACCGGAGGCGATTCAGTGTCTTCATTGCTCTCCGGGGGAAGGTGTTCTCAGCCCCGTGCCGTGGCTGGGGGGAGACCAGGAGATCTGGCCCAGCAGGACAGAGCGGTGAGAAGCCCCAGAGCATGGAGGTGAGGGTCAGTGGCTCCATCAACACACCAGAAAGCAGCCCCAAGGGGTCTTCTGTGACCGCCCCCCATCACGTCCCTTCTCCCCAAAGCTCAGCTCCCCATATCCGAGGGGGAGGTAGTAATAGTCCCTCGGTGCAGATGGGGGAAACTGAGGCACAGCAGCTGCAAATAGGGAACTGGTGTGGGAAGTGGAATGAGGCCTAAGGAGTTCCTGGCTCCCAGTCTCCTGCCCAGGACAGTGTTAGTATTGATATTAGCACCAGGTTGTTATCCCAGGTTCTCCGACAACCAACCGATTTCGGTGGGGAAATCGAGTCCCAATGGGTTCTGTACCTCCAGGTCACACTCTGTGGCAGATCTGGGAAGGGCCGGCACCCGTTCCTTCTGCTCCACGATCCCTCCAAGAGCTGGGAGCAGCACGCCCTGCTCTAATCACTAGACCACACTTCCTCTCCAAGGAATCTCTAGACAGCGGAGACGCCCAAGAGGCACGGGGCCCGCAGAAGCTCTCTCAAGAAAACCATCTACAACCACTGATGGTGGATCTACCCAACGAAGCGCACCCCAGCTGGGCTGGGCTCTTGTCGGTCTGCGCCCACTGCGGCGCTTGTCGTTCTGCGCCCACTGCCTCTCCCTTTGCTGTAGGTTTCCCAGCGACTGGCTGCAGCCGAACAGTCACCCACTCCCCAAACCCCAGGGCCCCCAAAGGCAGGGTTTCCTGGAGCGTGGAGCCACCCGCAATGCCGTGCAATCCGCCAGGGGAGCTTTGCTG